GAGGAGCTGTCAGACAAGGTAAATGACAAAGCACACATGCCTTTAACTTTTGCTTTGCCCCTCTGGAGGGCTTGAAGGAAGGGAAAGTGTTTCACATTGCAGGAACTTTCTTTCCCCAGATTAGTTTCTCTCACAAAAGACACAAGTATATATAGAGTAATCTTTTTTCATTTTAACTGAGTCTCAGGGAAAAGTAATATCAACTGCAGATTTAGAGACAAATAAACCCTGTTCTTCATCAGCTCCATCAGAATGAGAAGGCCTTTTAGGGAGAGTCTTTGCTAGGCACAGACATGGGCAAGTGGGTGTAAATGGAGCAAACCTAAAAGACAGAAGCCTTCTGGCTCTGAGGGGCCAACAAACACATGCCCAAGGAGAACCCTGAGTTTTCCAGGGTTGGTTTCTCTGTTCTGCCTTCTCACTTCCACCACTGAGCTTCAAGGCCTGTGGTGTTTCTGTCTCCAGGACACTGTGGGAAAAAGGAGGGGATGAGCCATCCTCGGCAATGGTAAATCACCCACAGCAACAAGCTTGGCAATCATCTTTCTTGCATGTTTGCTGTCCCTATTTAATTTATTTCTTCAAAGAGCATGCAGTGCTGAGTCTGCGCTCACTCCACAAAGGACAGCCCCAAGCTCACTGCAAACACAGAGGTCTGCATCTCCGCTCCTGAGGGCGCTGGCTACACGGTTCCCATAGCTGCTTTCTTTGCCCTAAAGGACATGAACTTGCAGCATTGGGGAATAGACCCTGTTTACACTTTCCCATCCTAAGAAGTTGTGTTAATCAGCATGTGTGACATGTCACAGAAGAAGAGTTGTGAGTTAGAGACCTTGCTGGGAAGTTGCCCTGCTCTCTGAAGTCCAGCCTCACAGTGCTGGGTTTCTGTCCACTGCACTTGGGATAACCCTCCTTATGTCTAGATGAAAGGACAGTTGTGTTGCCATGGAGACACTAATCAGAGTGGCTGTCTGATCCTTGCCATCTCTCCCCTACCTTTGCCTTTACCTACTTTCTCTAAGAGATTGCCACCAGTGGCTTTGTGGTCCAATTTCTGACTTCAGTTTATTAAGAAAAAGCTGAAAAGCAGAGGTCAAGGGTGCCTGCCCTTAGAAAATTGCTCACCTTGTTTTTGGTGTGAGCAGAATGACTTTTCCATGGCTGTCTGCCTCTAGCCTGCTAGGAAATGAGAATTACTTTTCAAAGAAGGGAGTTGTTGCAGAGGAATTTTATGTTACATTTGAGAACGTGATCACTTGGTTCTAAAACCATTCTGTGTCAGCCCTCGTGTGGATGTAAAGCAGGTCACTTTTGTCCTTCTCATGGGCAAGAATCACTGCCTGTGAAGAACAGCACTTGTCCTGTTTGTGTGGCTGTTCTAAGAGTGCAGAAGACGGACAACTTTACTAGAGACTGAACATTTGCAGCTGGAACCTGCTGAAACCTATCCCCAGCACCTGAGTTGCTTTGCGGCATGTGGAGTATATTACAGGATCTAGAAGCAGACAGCTTGGAGCTCCTCACCATCACCTAACTGTCAGCGGTTCCCCTCCAGGGGCCAGGCCCACGCTGCAGGCTGGTTAGAGCAGAATTGCTGCAGTTGGAATGGGAGCAGGGCATTTCTTAGACCTCCCCAGGTGATTACAGTGAGCAGCCAAGTTTCAAAACATTACCTTAAAAAAAAAAAAAAAACAAGAAAAGCCTGTTGAGTTTTTGTGGTCCCATATCTGCCTTTTACACTCTATCAAGTCAGACTGACTGTGGCCAGTACCCATCCACATTCACCTACAGAAGACAGAGACATTGACCTATTTTTTAGCTTCAAAGCAGAAGAGGCTCTTTCTTTGGGTCAATGGCCTGTAAGCCTCCATATGCACATTTAGTAAAAATATGTTACTTTGAATGCCTGCAGAGGATGGTGACATCTATTGAAAACAAAGGACTCAGCACCATTTTTTTTTGTGGAGAAAGACTTTATCAAGCCTAATGGCGCCTGCATATTCCAGAAGAAGTCAGAGTGCTCCTTTGGCACCCCAGTTGGGGTCCCTTCGGTACCTCTGCTTTCACCCTGTGCTTACTAAGTCAGGAGAACAAAATACAAACTGACTTCAAAGACCTTCCTGAAGGATTAAGGGAAAGACAAGTGAAAAGATCATAGTGCATCCATACAGGACACCATACTTAAAAATCATCCAAATGTTCTTCATTAGCCATTTTTAATTTCGTTCCCAATGTAAAGCTCCTCCAAAAATCTCTTCACTGTTCAGAGCAATGGAGTTTCCCCTTTGTCTGCATCCCTTATTCTGCAAAGCAAACCCTTGAAAATGAGCTTCATTGTATGACCTGTTATTCTTCAAGCCCAGCCTTGCAGGGGAGGGGAGTCAGCCAGTTCGCCTGCCACTGTGTTTATTAGAAACTTAGAAATATTTGAGAAACCTCATGATCATTCGCATGTTAATCACCAGTCAAACTTCAGGCACCCTGAGCTCTCTGCTCTCAGAACTCTGGAAGCACACATTTTCTGGACAGCTCACCTGCACCTGCCCAGCTGCTGCACTGCCTCCCTCTGTCCAAGTTTTTCCCCGAATGAGATGGAAGCCCCTTCAGGGTATCACCCTTCACCTCTCTGCACCTCCCTCTAAGCCTTACATGTCAATAAATACTTTTGTCGATCTTCCCAGAGAGCACTGAAAACACTGCTGTCTGATGGTGGTTTTGAAGGAAACTAGAGACCGGAAGAAGGGTGCATAGTGGGTGAAGTCTGATCAGAAGACAGGGAGACAAGTACGTTGCCCAGAGGCACCCTCTCCCAGAATGAGGCATAATCACCCCCATGGAGCTAGGTACTGACATGCACTTGGTTGGACACTCATGGGTCTCTGTCACCTGGTTTCTGACTGGCACTGTGATAGAGCAGAAATAATGACAATAACAGAGGCCTATACTAGTGAGTACTTACAAAGCACAGCTCCAAGTGTTTTTCTGTATCAGCCCCTCAGGCGTCCCCCCCCCCCCCAGTGTATGTTTCACATTGCCAGGAGACACATAGCTGGTGTATGACAAGGCTGCCCTTCAGACCCGAGCCTTGTCAAAGCCAGGCACGTCCGCTTGCTGTACTCTGGCAGGAAAAGCAAAGTCTGCTTCCCATGAGCTTGCAGGCTAGTTGAAGAAGTTAGGCCAACAGTTTGGACGTCAGAGCTGTGTGAGGGGTGGGCTGCAGAGCACTGTAAGCACGCTGACAGAAAGCCTTCTCAGGTGTGGATAGCGGCACCCACGGAGATTCAGAAATTACAGGGCTGGGCTGGGAAGGGCGGGTGCGGGAAATAACACTAGGCCACAGTGTTCAAAAGACCAAAAATAAAACCGAAAGAAACTTCTCCTAGGACATAAATCTGCCCTAGACAGACGAGGCGGAGGAAAAGAAAGGGCACATCCATTTTCAGGCCTGCACAGGTGCCTCTGACTCAAAGTCAATAACTGTTCAAGGACAAGGGCAATGATGAATGATAGGGAAATGACCTATGTGTCCAGACAAGGTGGGTGGCGCTGGGCACAATGGGGGATGATCCCAATGTCATAAAGGAATGAGACAGGCCCCTTTCTCCAGGGGGTGCAGACTGACTGGTTCATACACCCCACTCTGCACCCCTCACATACAGACATCAGTAGATCTAGGGCGGAGCAGATCCTACACTCAGATGTGAAAGCTGAAGCAGAACTGATTAGATTTCCATGTTCTGGATTCCAGAAGGGGCCAGACACAGTTCCAAGGAAGGTTCTGCCTGCCCCTTGCTCTCTGACTTTGTTGTGATGTTGTAGAAAAGGGGTAGTGCTAGACTCACTGAAAACCCTCTCCATGTACCGGAGTCTGTACTACATTGGGGTACCCTTGAACTCACACTGGAACTGCCAGATGGATGGATCTTCGCCCCTTAACCTCCCAGGTGAATTGCACTCAAAGCCACAAATAATAAGTAAAGCTATTTAAATCTTCACTGAAATCCCTTGAGAACACTGAAAGGGAGGTCCATCTGTGCTTCCCAATGCCGTTCCTTAGGATCTACCCCAAACATCTCCTAGTGCCTTGTTTTTCAATCTTCCCCATATATTATGAAATCTGGCCCATAAATCCCTCATCCTTCTTCCCCTTCCATTGAACTTTCTTTTTGTTGCAACCCTCTGCTTTCCCAATGTCCTCCAAGCCAGAAGCCTTACCTACTCCTGACCACACCCACTTTTCTGACACTTCTCCTTAAGGCTAGAAGCCAAGGCTCCTACAGATTCTCCTTTGGGGTATGGGAGGGTGTCAGAGCTATGAAATGTATTGCTATGATCTAGGCATTATCTTTCCTAATAGGATTAACCCCCAACTGCCACCGCCTTTTCTATTTTATGAGAAGAAATTATTTGTTTTAGGCCTGGCCCCGGGTACTCTAGGTGACGTGGCCTTGAAGCAAAGCTGATTCAGCCTGCTACACACTATCTCAATAGTTCCCCAAATTCAGGGGCTGAGAATGTCAGATTCCTATGAAGAGCTTCTTAGGAAGTTCTCTCCAGATTCTTGGGCCTCTCCCCATATATGTTGATTCAGGAAGTTGGGGAGAGACCCAAGAAATGTGTCTGTTCAACGGGTAATTCTGATAACAGCTCTGTTTGAGAACCTATTCTGACCTAATTACTAAAGGTATGGAATGGCTTCAATTTTATATAAGCCTTGTGTCCATAAAATAGACGCTTACAAGACCTTGTGGCTGACTTCCGGGGCATGGGCTATGGGCACAAGCTGTAGAAAACGTGAGGATGGAGGTAGGACAGGCATCAGAAGGGTTGGAACCTGCCTATTTCACATAATCTTCTCACAACCCCTGGCCTCTTGTACAAGGTTAATGGCAATCTAACAGATTCATAGTAAGCAAATTTACATTTTATGTATTGCCATGACTCCAAAATTGCTACTGGTTCTAACTTAAATGTCTGTTTTTATGTTCCATCATTCCCAGGCATGAAAAGTACCTCGAACAAATCCCAAGGCATGAGGAAGTGGGCCTCGTTCTCTAGGACCCTGCGGCACTGGAAATGAAGCTGAGCAGACTATTACATCCTACAATTCTGCAACCTTTTGCAAAGCATTTTATTACACTTGTAGAAGTCAGCAGGGTTACATTTCAATCATGATGACTGACAGGCTAACTTCAAAACAACAGCATGGGCAACCTTCCACACTTCCGGTTCTGCCTACTTAGAACCCTTCCTGAACTGTTCCTTGGCCTGGATGGAAATAAAATGGTAGTTAAAATATTTATCTCGTGTGTTGGCTAACTTAAAAATTGATGTTTTGAGGCTCTGAAAGTCACAACGGAGAAAGTCCATCCCTTAGAACTACTTCTGTGCTCCATGTAAACAAAAGGTGTGTTAAGGCTGAGATAAGATTTAGAGAGTTTCCGTTTTGGTAGGTAAGAAACTAGAACGAGACTCGTGCAACCTTTCCTGGGTCACAGCCTTCTCCTATAGAGAAGCAGAGTTGAAAGAACCTAAGATGGCTAAAAATTAGCTTCTGGAAACTAACAAACACTTATTGTGGGAATCAGGCTGTTGGAAGGTAAGGAAGGGGAATGGAGGAGCTCTCTGCATGTCTTAGGAAGCACGCCCCACAGCCACGATAATCAGTTTCTTTAAGGAAGGATGACAGAAAGAGGCCTTTTCTTCTCTTGATATATTAATATAAGGAGGGATTACAGTTTAGAGAGAAAACTAAAATACATCAATAGCAGTGCTACAAAGAAGCAAAAGCAGAACTTTTTTTTTTTTTTTTTTCAGGAAAAGCCTCCTTGAGAATCCCTTTGGTCTATGGGCCCCTCCCTGAATCCAACACCATCATTTCTGGAACAAATGGCCACCCACTGGGTGGCTTAAAACAGCCGAAATTTGATCTCTCACGGTTCTGGAGCCCAGACATCCTGAATGCAGCAAGGCCGGGCTCCCCCAGAGGCTCTAGAGCCATCTGTCCTGGCACCGCTGGCAGCCCTTCCCATCACCTCTGTGTGTCTCCCCTCTGCATATGTCTTATGAGGACACTTGTCATTGGATTAAGGGTCCACTCAGACAATCTAGAATGATATCACAAGATCTTAACATCCTTCGCATAATTACATGTGCATAGGCCCTTTTTCAAAATAAGGTAACCTATCTTTATGAGGGGTGCTATCTGACCCACTACTTGGACATTTGGCCTTTGGTGGTTTCCAGTCCAGTGGAAGTCAACAGACTGACTGAATTGCACGCCACTTCAAATCTTCTGTGTCTTTGTCAAAGCCCTGTTTGTTGACAATGATTGGAGGTGACTCCTTGAGACTTGGAAGCCCTCTGGTTCCCAAGTGACGTCGGAGGCTTCTTTCTTAGCTGTGGGTAAAAACGACTACGATGTGATCAGGATGTGCTCGGAAGCTAAAATGCCAGTGAGGGAAGGTGGCAAGTACCGGTAATTTCACCAAGCTTGAGGGCTACTGATTTGTGGACCAGGTCAAACATTGATCTTATCTCTGTTTTAATAGCAAATGCCACCAAAATGCCTGGCCCCTAACTCTAAGGCTAATTCCACATGTCACTCATTGGCTTTCAACCCAAGGAGTAAATAAAATAAATAAACAGCCGCTGATGAAACAATGAATTGAGTCATACTGCAAGCCTGCCGGCAGTTTTGTTTCCATTTTGTCTGTGCAATTAAAACCCTACAGGAGCCTCAGCTCTGCCTGTGTACCCATCAGTTTCCTCATTCCAAGCTCCTATGACTCTGCCCTGATTTGCAGGCTGTGGGCACAGAAGGCCAGCCTGAATCTTAGCTCTCATGCCAGTCCACGCTTAGCTGGAAGGCATGATGGCTCAACAAGGACTGTTTAAGAGTGCTTTGTAAGGGATGCATTAAGAACTAACAAAGTCTTCTGATACCAGCAGGGAAAAACCCAGCTATTACTCCTTTTGCTAAAGTGGGTCTGGCCTGCACTGAGAAAATGCATAAGGCAGAGGAGAGCAATGCTTAAGTCAGAACAATGTTCCTGGCTACAGCCACCTTTTCTCTCTGATTTTTTTCTTAGACATAAATACCCACTTGCCTGCTTCTGTTTTTCTTAAGAGCTGGAGAGCTGCTAATTTTGTGGTAAACAATAGATAACTTGGAGGTAGATTCGGGTCCATCTCTGTTATGCTGGTCCCTCTCTCTGTTGACAACATTAGAAGGAAGATGTCTTCTGCTTATCTTTGTGTGTTTACTCTTCAAACCCTTTGCCCATTTCTTATCTTAATTGCTCTACCTGAAGTCAAAATCCAAAAGGTGGAAGAGAATGATACTCTGTTTTTGGCAAGGACCTTGAAAGAATGTTTTCCCATGATTACCTCCACCACCCCTACCCAAAGTTATAGAACAATACCTCTCAAACCCCATCAGTTCTTTCAGATGGTAAGAAGGGGCTGTGTGTCCCAATGAGCTGAAGCCACTCCCATCTCTCCTCTTCAGTATCCAAGCTTGAGACTCAGGTCTGGCCATGGACCTACTTCTTCCAGTGGTCTGTACTTTCTAAGTATACTGCCCAACATGCTGATAAAAGAAGAAAATAAGCTTTTGTCATAGACTTATTATAGATATATTTGCAAATGTTCTACTTAATCCACACAAGATCCCTACATGATACATATGGAAATTTAGGCAACTTGCTCAAGGTGACAAAGTTGGTATAAGTGGGTTTGGGGTCAACTTAGGTCAGATTCCCCAAACCTATGTTTTTAGGAGAAGAATTGTAACTGAGGAATCTCAGCAAATTAAACATATACCTTTCCCAGTTTTCTCCTGAAATGTCTATTGAGTTGGCAGGTTGGTCCTTTGTACTGATGTTCAAAGGAAAAGGGGGCAGTAATATTTAGGAAAAGGCAAGGAATATCCAAACATTCTCAAGTGAAAGCATCCCTCTGGTCATGTAAATAAAGACAATTAATGGCATTCCTATATCTCAATAACATATGGGAAAGGTGTTACCAAAAATGCTTACAGTAACTCTGAGACAAATGTGCTCAAAAAAAGGTAAATAATTATGTATCTTTGAAGTAAAACCCTAGTGCACGGTTGGTGGGATTGCAGACTGGTACAACCACTATGGAATTTTCTCAGAAAACTAAAAATGGATCTACCCTTTGACCCGGCAATTCCACTGCTGGGTTAATACCCTAGGAACCCTGGAACACCAATCCAAAAGAACCTATGCACCCCAATGTTTATAGCAGCACAATTTACAATAGCCAAGCGTTGGAAGCAACCTAGGTGCCCATCAGTAAATGAATAGATAAAAAAACTGTGGTTCATTTACACAATGCAATTCTATGCAGCAGAAAGAAAGAAGGAGCTCCTACCCTTTGTGACAGCATGGATGGAACTGGAAAGCATTATGCTAAGCAAAATAAGCCAGGCAGTGAAAGACAAATACTATATGATCTCACCTTTAACAGGAATCTAATCAACAAAACAAACAAGCAAAATATAAGCAAAGACCTGAAATTGAGAACAAGCTGACAGTGACCAGAGGGGAGAGGGGAGGGAATTTCAGGGGAAAAGGGGAAAAGTTTACAGGAACAAGTATAAAGGACACATGGACAAAACCAAGGGGAGGTGGAAACAGGAGGGAGGTGGGGAGGGTTAGCAGGGTGGGGGTAAAAGGCAGAAAACTGTACCTGAGCCCTGGCTGGTGTAGCTCAGTGCATTGAGCACAGGCTGTGAACCAAAGGGTTGCCGGTTTGATTCCCAGTCAGGGCACATGCCTGGGTTGCAGGCCAGGTCCCCCAGTGGGGGCCACGGGAGAGGCAACCACACATTGATGTTTCTCTCCCTTTCTCCCTCCCTTCCTCTCTCTCTCTCCCAGAATAAATAAATAAATACTTTTAAAAAAATCTATAAAAACCTGGACCTGAACAATTAAAATAAAATAAAATAAAATACAAAACAAACAAAAAACCCTTAACACACACACAAAAAAAAACTAAAACAACCTAAAGTAATTAATATGTAATTACTTAATTGTGAGGATTGAAAAATGGGTCAGTCCTACTTGGAACAACCACCACCACCAAGCATGGTCACACACTTGCAGCTCATTTCAGTTCTGAAAACATCTTGATCATCTACTATGCATCAAAGGCTGTGGCTCAGCAGCCAAAAATGAGGTTGTCCCCAAGGTACAGCTAGAAAGTAGAGTAACTAGATTGCAGCAGGGAGGGGAATAGGAAGAGCCAGGCTACTTTCAACAAGAATATAGGCCTTACTTCTAGGCAACAGAGAATTTCTTTTTCTGAATCTATTACTATTACTATTCTTTTTCACATAAACCTCACAAAAGCCAAGCAGTCTTTCTTCTTTCCTTTCTCTCTTCCTTTTTCTAGTGTTTATTTAACAATATTTATTCAATAAATATGTATTCAACACCTATCGTGTGGCAAGTATTGTACGTACTAGGTGCCGCTGCTATAATGCAGAGCAAAAACATTTGGAAGTAACTATTACCCTCCTCTGTAGATGAGGAAGCAGAAGTTCAGAGTTTGTGACTTACTTAAGGTTGCACAATAGTAATAAGGCATTTCTGTGCATCAAAGCCTGGGGTTCTTACCTTTAAGCCAAGCTGTTTCTCAGAAGGCAGGACAAGAGAGACAGGAGATGCTCTATGGGTTAACTCATGGTTTCCTGTACAGACCAGGCCCAATAAACATACCTAGTTCCCCCACATCTAAATTAGCTGAGGGAACTCAATCTAGGCCTCTAAGGTTCAATTGCTGTTGATCTGATGAACGTTTGCTAAGTGCCATCTGTGTGTACACCCTGAGGGTGGGAGTGGCTCTGAGAGAGCAGTTCAGCTCCTTATTTCACCCTGCAAGTACCCTGCTGTCCTCTTCCTTTCTGACAATAGAGCAGCATTTGGGTCCCTCACTGAGCATTCTGCCTGGCGACCCTAGCGACAGCGAACATCTCCCTGTCTGATGCTGTTCTTAAGGAAGGATCTGGAACGAGACCCCCAGATTCCCAATGGGCCCCATACTGCGGGTCCAAGGTCGCACCTTGGTAAACAGACTTCCATCCAAGTTGCTTAGATGTCCTTCACCACTTTTATGTTTTTCTATCCCACTTCTCCCATTTTTCTCTGCCTCTCTTCTCATTCTTCTCTCTGCCAGGAGGTAGGCTCACAAAAGCAAGTTCATAACCTTGAAAGACAATCTAAAACAGTGGTTCTCCATCAGTATCACCTGACAGGGAGGGCTTGTTAGAACT